TTCCTTACTTTCTATATATATGCCTGTTATTATATATACACACACAGGGGCCTTCAGAAAATAAGAAACTGAGATACATACTGTACTTCTTAGTGAAAATGATGTTTCATTGATCTGTTTCGTCTCCTGTGTTTATTTTCTTGTTAAAGCTTAGCCCCAATATATACAAGTATTACAAGAAAGTCTTTTAACTTCAACTGGAGTACCATACATCTGTAGCAAATGCTGCATTTAACAGCTCTGCCGTACAAAATCGCGTACAAACCGACATCTTTTATGTAGTAAATATACCCTGCTTTTGAAAATAGAACATGCACTCTATGTACGGAGTTTCCTGTTTAGGGGGGGGGGGGGTAGGCTGCTTACTTTGCTCTGAACTGTAATTATTCCATGCTCCTTATCTCCTATGACTGTTTGTTGCATTAAGCTATTTATCATTCTTACGGGGATCTTGCGAATGGATGTTCCGTCACCTTCTTTCTTCTACATCTTACTGTAATTTGTCCGAATCCGGAAGTACTCCCCGGTGCTTAATAACGTTACAGGTAAAGCCTTACTCGATATTAATGACAAAAACACAATCACCATCATAGCCACCACAACTACCGTCATCAAAACCAACGCCATGACCGCCCACCGAAAGCACCACACCGCTATCAACAACAAACATCAACCGCTACTTTTATCATACTCAACATTGCACGCTCATCAGCCAATAACCTAATACTACATGTGCGGGGTCTGTCCCAGAGATATAACTAATATACGTGTACATTTTCCTGTTCTGTAAAATCAACAATGTGGGTGTATTCGTGGGATCCAGAACTGAAAAGACGCCCAACAGATTGGAGAAACCGAGGATCACCTCTGCTACCACACACACTTGGCGCAAGCAAGGTTCTTTTCGATTTCAAAGGTCCGATTTTGAACTTTCTGGTTCCTGTTGGCACATCATGCAATATCAACTACTATTAGAACAAGAAAATTCTCCAAACAAAGCTGAGACCAGCAGTCATAGAAAGCGGCCGGGTCTGCTTGAACAAGGTGTTGTCTTCCATCATGATAACACGCCTGTGCTCAAAGCTCAAAGGTCACCGATCTCCTGGACTCCTGGCAGTGGGTAATCATTGAACATCCCCCGCTATTCCGGAGACTTACACCATGCAACTACTATCTCTTCCCCAAATTCACAGAATTGGAGAACAGCAATTGGAAGGCGAAGAAGAAATTGTGTTCGCAATAAATCTTGCGCTAAGGACTCTGACCGAAGCAGACAAGGTCACAGCGTCCCATCTTTGCCTTCACGGTGTAGATGTATTCCAGTTTCCGTATCTGACAGAGTGGAGTTTCCTCAGCTGCCTGTGGCATACTTTCCAAGTCTGGCGCAAGTGTACTTATATCCACAGGCTGTAGTATTTCCAGCCGATTGTCACCATTTATTGCTTTCAGTTTCCTCTTCCCCTTCTTTATTTACTTCATCCATGTCAGTATTTTCTCCCTTGTTTCCTATAGTTTCCTCCGACTCACGAGGGGCCCCTCCTCCCCTCTGTCCCATCCATAGTCATCATCACTCCCTAATAACCCAACAAATACAATGTACAAAGGCATATATAATCACTTTACTGTAGCGTATCTATTACATACCAACATACGCTCTTTCTCTCTCTCTCTCTCTCTCTCTCTCTCTCTCTCTCTCTCTCTCTCTCTCTCTCTTTCTCTCTCTCTCTCTCTCTCTCTCTCTCTCTGTCTGTCTGTCTGCCAGTCTCTTAGACACACATCTTCACTACCCTTGGAAATGCATTTTGCGAAAGAGATGTTAGTATAAAAGCTACCCCCCCCCCTCACACACAAACACCCCAGCCTCCTTTGTCTCGTCCCCCTCCATCAAGTGCTGGGTGTTGTCAACATAAAATTAATTTGAATTTTTCAGATTTACCGGGTAGTTAAAAATGAAGTTAAGATGAATAAACCAATGACAGAAAGTAAAATAAATTGTAATGTATCTCACCTTTTTTTCTTACAACGACGGAGCCTTACGGGATTTAGCTCTAGCAAAACTGTCAATTATTGGTTCGTAGTCCAATTTTCGCGCTAGACTGACCTCTATCATACTCTATGGCCAAAATTCCAAGACTTGTGAGTCCGTCTTGACGCATTGTGGACCACAAAATGTTTTTCACCTGAGAAAGGTTACTGAATGAACGTTCAGCTTGCGCAACTGTGACAGGCAAGGTGCAGAAGATTCTCAACATGATTACAACGTTCGGAAACAAAGCATCCAGTTTCAGGGAATGAAGTCTGTTCAGCAACTGAAGAGGCGGCAGGACATTTTCTCCAATGTTCGCTGAATGAATCACTTTCAAATGTTCCAACTCTTGCGCAAGGTCTGCTGATGCATCCACTGCATATTCCGTGTGCAATTTGTTTGCAAGATCACGATTAACGCTTCCTCTGGGAGATATTTCCACAAAACACTAAATAACGAATCGAGTTTTGTCACTGCATTTTACCTTGTCTTCAAATTTCCAAGAAGGCAGTCAATGAGGACATAAAAAACTTCATGTTTGAATTTGTTCTCGGGATTTTCTTAGTCTGTAACATCTTCTGTGTCGTCTGCAAAAAGCTTCCTTTTCTTTTGTCATTTTGCTGTTTCAGTAAATGAATGCTCAATCTCATAGTTATCTGCTACTAA